GGGATGGAACACTCTGTATACATCTACTAAGTCTATTTATTTTCAGATTTGGTTCAGATCTCTTATTTCTGTGCTGATTTTTTGTCTAGTTGACCTATCTCTTTGTGTCAAAGGGGTGTTTATGTCTGCTATTAAAATAGTGTTATTAATTATTTTGTTTTTCATGTCTGTTAAGATTTTCTTATATAATTTAGTGCTCTGGTATTTGGTACGTATGTGTTTATGATTGTTATCTCTTCCTCTTGCAGTTTTCCCCTAACAAGTATGTAGTGACCTTCTTTATCTCTTTTGATTGTTGTCAGTTTCAAGTTTACATTGTCTGTAAACATAATAGCTACCCCTGCTTTTTTCTGGGTTCTTGTTGCATGGAGAATTGTTTTCCATCCTTTGACTTTCAGTCTATGGATTTCCTTTTGAGTAAAATGTATTTCCTGTATACAGCATATTGTTGGATTTTGTTTCTTAATCCACTCTGCCAGTCTGTTTCTTTTGACGGATGAATTGAGGCCATTTACTTTAGTTGTTATAATGGATATGTGTTGGCTTATCTTTGTCATGTTATTTACTTGCTGTTGGTTTCCTACTTTTTCTATCTGTTTAATTGCTTTCTCTGTTTGAGGGTTCTTTTCTATTGTTGTTCTTGAAATTGTGGTCATTTTTTTCTCTGGCTAGAATATCTTTTAGTACTCTGTGTAAGGATGGTTTGGCATTCATGAAGCTCTTCAGTTGTTCTTTGTTGTGGAAATATTTTATTTCTCCATTGAATTTCAAGGCTAGTTTTGTAGGATACGTCAGTCTTGGTTTGAAGATGTTTTGTCTCAGGTCCTGTAATACTTCACTCCAATCTCTTATTGACTGGATGGTTTGTGCTGAGAAATCTGCTGTGATTCTGATGGGCTTTCCTTTATAAGTGATCTGTTTCTTTTCTCTAGCAGCTTTTAATGTTCTGTTCTTTTGCTGGATGTCTTGGATCTTGATTATAGTCTGCATGTAGTTTTATTTTGGTTATGACTAGTTGGAGTTCCATAGGCCTCATTTACCTATCTACATCAGATTCTTTTTTCATGCTTGGGAAATTTTCTGCTATTATTTCTGCAAATATTCTTTTCATGTCGTTTGTGTTGCCTCCTGCTGTTTCATTGACTCCTATTAGTCTTACATTATTTCTCTTTGCCTAATCCTGCAGCTGTTGAATTGATTTTTCTGGGTTCCTTGTTGATTTTAAGAGATCCCTTCCTTCACGATCATTAGCTGCCATGCTATCTCCAAGATCTGAAATTCTATCTTCAGTTTCATTCAAGCAGTTTTTCCAGCTTTCAGTGGAGGTTTTGATTTCCTGATACCTCTTTGAATCTGTTTCATGCATTCTAGTTCATGCCTAAGTTGTTCATTTAATGTTACCATCAGTTTCCTATGCTCATCTATTTTTTATATGTCTTCTTTAAATGTGCTCAGCAATTCTTTCATTATTGTTGTCATTTCATTTTTTACCTGAGAGATTATTTCTATTCTGATCTCTTCTATGACCTGATGGAGTTGTTTCTTTACTTCCATTGCAATCATTTCAGCAACTTCAGGTGTGTGTTTACCAAGTTCTCCTGTGTTGATGTCTCCTGGACTTGTTCTGAGTGGGGTGGAGTTCTGAGATTGCATTTTAGTCCTTTGTCTTGTCATGTTTGATGCCAGAGGCAGAGCGCCCAGTCTCCCTCTTCCCTGGCAGCTCAGCAAAGGTCGCTAGCGTCGCTAGTTTTCCTGGTGATTAGACTTGCCCCTCAGTGGCTGCTCACATGTGCCACTTAGTCTGGGGTCTTCTGGCAATTGGTGAAGTGTACCTAGTTCTCTCAAGTCTCAGACACAAACTGTGATGTTGGCAGACCACAGACTGTCTGATCCAGTGTCCCCTGGCAGCTCAGGGCACGTGTATGACCCAGAAGTGGGCTGCACTGGTGGCATGATCATGGACTGCCTGTGTCTGTGACCTCTGGGAGGTCAGGGCATGTGCAAAGCCCAGATGCAAACTGTAGTGTCAGCAGTTCATGGACTGCCTGCTCTAGTATCTCAGGCAGTGCAGGGCACATGCAGGTAGGGCCAAAACATGAACCCTAGGGTTAGAGGTTCATGGGCCTTCTGAGTCAGAATCTCCTGTCTGTACCAGGCACATGGAGGGGGAGCCACAGACTGTAATGGTGGCAGGGTCATGGGTTGCCTGCTCTGACACCAGGAAGTAGATGGGGAATTCTTGGTTCTCTTGGCTTTCAGCTGTGATCCGTGATGTCAGCAGATCAGGGACTGCCTGATTCCATGTCTCCAGGCAGCTTGGGAGTCATGCAGGAGCCAGATGTGGGCTGTACTGGTGGTGATCAGGGACTGCATGTTTCTGTGACCTCTGGGAAGTCAGGGTGTGTGCAAAGCCCTAGAGAAAACAGTCCTAAAGTTCATGTGGAACCAGAAGAGGCCTAGAATAGCAAAAGCAATCCTGGGAAACAAAGGAAAGGCATCATAATTCCTGACTTGATATTATATTACAAAGCTTTTGTGATAAAATCAGCATGATACTGGCACAAAAACAGACCTGAAGATCAATGGAACAGATTAGAAGATACAGATACAACTACAAACATAACTCAGTCACCTTCTCTTTGACAAAGGGGCCAAACATGTTCACTGGAAGAAAGATAGCCTCTTTAATAAATGGTGCTGGAAAAACTGGCTTTCCACATGATGAAGACTTAGGGGCTGGGAATTTAGCTCAGTGGCACAGTGCCTGCCTGGCAAGCACAAGGTCATGAGTTTGATTTCCAGTACCGGAAAAAAACCCAAAAAACAAACAAACAAAAAAAAACCAAAAAACAAAAAACAAAACAACAACAACAAAAACACACTAGAACTAGACCCATGTCTTTCACCATGCACTGAACTAAAGTTAAAATGGATCAAAGATCTAAATATTAAAAACAAAAACACTAAATCTATTGGAAAAGAAAGTAGGTAAAAATCTTGAAGACATATGGGTAGGCAGAGAGTTCATGAACAAAAACCAAAGTGCATGGGAAATACTTCAAAGAATCAACAACTGGGATCTCATCTCATTGAAAAGTTTTTGCACATCTAAAGAAATCACCAGCAGAGTAAGGAGAAAACCCACACTCTGGAAAAAAAATTTAGCCAACTGCCCCTCAGACAAAGAGCTTCTATTTAGGACATAGAAAGAATTAAAAAAGTCAGGTCCCCCAAATT